AAATAATAAATAAATACTTTTTTAAAAAAAAAAAAGCCAAAATTCTTAAGATGACCATTAAGTGTGAACTTACCATAGCTAGGCAAGAGGTACAGGTTGAGCGGAACCATCAACAGGACTATGCAGCCCAGAAGAATAAAAGGCACCTCATAGCCAAAGGATTGGTACAGAAACCCACCCAAAGGAGGACCCAGGACGAGTCCCAGTCCAGAAAAAACCTCCAAGCTGCCCTAAAAATGGAAAAACAAAAGAAAATTTAGTCAATGTATTTCACTTGAAATTAAGAGTACTATCTGGAAAAACATTCTGTTTCCCACTTTATACACACACACTCAAGATGGGCCAAAAAATTTTAAGCTTACATATTTAAATAATAAAAGTACTAGAATAAGAGTTTAATTTAAAACAAAACCCTATGATGAAAAAGCATCTCTACTTATGACACAATCAGAACTCAGAAGATAGACAAGAAATAGCTGACAAAGCTGGTGATGTGAAAATATGAAAGCTATGCACAGAAGCACATCATGGGACAAATAAAAACCAAGAAATACAAGGAACTGACCTTCGACAGCTATCCAGAAAGCTACTGTCAGTCAGCAGGAAAAACCAACAAACGGCCGCCCGGTAGGGAAATGGGCAAACTGCTGGCCAAGGAAAATGAACTGCAAACAGCTATTAGACGCAACAGCTTACTCTTGCTTTTTAAAGGTGATGAACAAATTTAAACCTGAAGACACCAAATTCTTCACCAAATATCTGTCAACACTTTCTGCTTCCAAAGCTGTGGGATACAAGATTCTCTCCTCCATTGCTGGCCTAGAGCACAGGTGGCAATTTGGCTACCTAGCAACATTTCAAATGCATGTACTCTCTGAAACAGAGTTCTACTTCTAGGAATTTAACTTACAAGAATAGCTCTAAGGACGTGGTCTGAACTATATAAAAGGCCAGGTATAGGGGCTGATGCCTATAATCTCAGTCGTTGGCAGGCTGAAGCAGGAAGATTGTTTGAGTTCCAAGCCATTCTGTGCTACAGAGTAACACCTGGTTTCTAAAAAAAGCCTGTGTGTGTGTGTGTGTGTGTGTTGGTACAAGTTTATACACTGATGTAACATTCATTGCAATGACAAAATATGTAAATGAACTAAACGTAGTGGCAGACACCTATCATCTCAGCACTCAGGAGGTGCAGGCAGGCAGAAGGATCAGCAGTTCAAGGTTAACCTTGGCTATATAGTGAGCTCTCGCCAGCCCAGACAACAGGAGAACCTGTCTCAAGCAAACAAGCAAACAAAGAGATGTGATTGATTTAAAATTCATTGACAAATAAACTCCAATATATCCATAAAGTGAAATAGTCCATCGCTACTAAGACTAAGAAAATTTTTGTAGGGAGGTTAAGAAAGATCTCCGCTGAGAGTCTGTTAGTATAATGAACAAGGTACTAAATGGTATGTAGAGCATCTATCACTTGGGTAAAGAAAAAGGGAAAGAATCATGCTGCCACTCAGTATCATACAGGGGTGGACACACTTATGTGGAACCTCTTTGGAAGAAGCCTGTTATCCTCTTAGTGCAGGTGGGGCACTAGGTGCCTGGACAACAGATGTGTATGCAAAAGTCAAGGGCAATAATATATGTAATATTCCATTTTATAACTTTTGAATTTTGTACTCTATAAAGTTAAAGTTAAAATAAACAATAGTCCTATAAAAAATAATTTACTGTTAAAGAAATTGTACCATTTAAAATCAATCTAGTTTTCAGGGGCTCTAAATTCACTTGTGCCTTACAACCTTACATTCTTTATTTTTTTTGGTCTTTTTGAGACAGGGTTTCCCTGTAGCCTCAGCTGTCCTGGAACTCACTACATAGACCAGGCTGGCCTTGAACTCATTGAACTCACAGAGGTCTACCTGCCTCTGCCTCCCAGTGCTGGGATTAAAGGCGTGTGCCACCATGCCTGGCTTACAACCTTATATTCTTAAGATTCATTCACAGAATATGTAAAAGTAATTCATTACAACTTTTAAAATATCATAAAGGAAGCCAGGCATTGTGGCTCTGGGATGGTCCATATAGCAAGTTCCAAGTCAACTGGGGCTACAGGGGCATTCTGCCTCAAAATATATATGAGACACACATGTGTGTGTGTGTGTGTGTGTGTGTGTGTGTGTGTGTGTGATATATATAATAAAGTATAAAGGTTATAGGAGTTCTGCCTTGCTCATGAGAGCCATCATGATTAATGTTTGGGATGTACTGGCTTGGCTGCAACTTTACATGGAAAGTTCAGAGGGCAACTCTGGTTTTCTCTGCTGATCTGAACCTCTAGTGAATTCATTGGTTACTGTCATCATCTTAGGAACTTCTAGAGTGTTCTCTAGAACATCAGATCTTTAAGAGGTCAACAAGCCTTGTTTGGAAAAACTGGTCCTGTGAACTGACTGAGACACGGAACATTCAGTAAAGTTTCTTTACTCAGGGATTTCTCAGAGCTTTGAACCTTTAATGTGAACTGCACATTTCTAAGCTGGAAAGCAGCCCTCAGAACATTTCAGACTTGTTTGGCCATAAAACCTTGCTAATGAGGTTTACAGTCTGACAATCATCTAGTCTTCTTTCCAACCTTTTATGAGACAGTGCATTTTGGGAAACGTTAATGGTGTGCCTGTCATCACGGCCACACCAGCATGTCACATGATTACAGAACAAAATGAGTGTCTTCAGCTGGATTCATAACCGCTCAGAAGGGAAGCATTCAGAGATAGCTCATCTGAGAGTGAAACGTTTCAAGCTGTAATAGTGTAACGAGGGGTCTTTGTATTAAACTGATTAGACTCTAAAGTGTAGAGAGCAAGTAAATACCATGAAAGTGGCATTTCGGCTGCTCTGCCAACCATAGCTCTGAGAGAAAGCTCTTAGGAAAGCCTGCTTGGGGTCAGAGAGGCAGTTACCCAAAGGCAGGATGGGAACCTGGCAGGTCATTAATACCAGGTCTACCTGCATGTAGGCCATGTTTGCTTTTTAAATAGCTTTCTTGGGAGAATTACCCAAAGGTCTTAGAAAAAGTATCTCTTAATCAATGAAACTTTTGAAACAATGTCTTCAAAGACCTATCCATTAGCCTTATTTCTTTTTAACTTTTTTTATACTTATTTATTTATTGTGTGTATGTGTGCAATAATGTACACGCCAGGGCCTGCATGTGGAGGACAACTTGTGGGAGCCAGGTCTCACCTTCCACTGTGTGGTTTCCAGGACTCAGGCTTGGTGGCAATCACCTCTAACCATTGAGTCATCTTACTGGCCTAAGAATTCCACTTCCGAGTGTCAACTGATGGTATCAGAGTCTGGATTTTATGTCAGAATAAGAGGGCCCTCTCAAGTATGATGAAAATGCATTAAGTGTTTCGGGATGACTCCTGAGACCTCTTTCTTCCATACATCTGGGGAAAGTAGAGGAAAGACTCATGAACTAAGCAAGCAGTTGCCACAGGCATAGGTCTTTTACAAGAGAGGAAAGATACATACAGCTCAGCCATGACCCGAGTTGCAGGGAGACAGCAAAACACTACTCAGGAGATTTTAATGAAAGTGATAAAAGCAGTGGTTGGTCCCATGAAGAGAAACCAGAAGAGCACCAAAGCAACATGAGTGGTCACAGTCTCTTTGCTGTTGTTTTGAGATAGGGTCTCACTATGTAGCCCTGACTAGCCTGGAATTCACTATATAGATCAGGCTAGCCTGGAACTCACAGGGACTCTCCTTCTCTGCCTCTGTGTGTTGGAATTAAAGGTGTGTGCCACCACGCCTGGTCACATTGTCTATGACTACCCTCATCCTGGGCCGCAGTTATCACCAATGGTCTTCACTTTTCTTTGATTTTTGTTTAGGTTTTTGCATTTTCAGACAGAGATTCTGCTATGTGCCTCAAGCTAGCCTTAAACTCTTAATACTCCAGCCTCTACTTCCCAGGTGCTAGGATTACAGGCATGTGCCATCACACCCAGCAATGGCAGATTTTTTTTGGCAGTTTTGCTGCTAGAAGTAGAAATCATAGTTAAAGAAACCAAAAACACAAGAGAGTGGGCGAAAGCTTGTATGCAGCAGTTCAAATGTTTTGGCTACATACAAAGGAAAACAAAAATCATAAACTCCATACCAAGACTGTTGCCACGTTATTTGGGAAAGCCTTTGCAAGAATAGAAGACGATGCTGTTATCACTGCACCAAAGCCTATGGCATCCACTATTCTCACAAGAAAACACATGACAATAAATATGGGTCCTTTTGGAAGTTGGTCCAAGACACTAGAAAAGAAGAAGGCAATCATCAAATGGCAAACTGGTGCTACAATCAGAGTCATAATGATAGTTCTGTTGTCCTTTCTTCTTGACACACTGGTTTCCTGGATGATAAATTAAGTAGGCCTCTTTGGAATACAGTGGTCCCTCAGTACCTCAGGCAATCGTGGTGGCAGGATTCACTTTGTATACCAAAATCAGAGGATGTTCAAGTCCCTGATATAAAATCCATAGTATGTGCTATCTATACATATCTTCCCGTATACAAGCTTTGAATCATCTTTGCTATTTAATTAATTAATTAATTAATTAATTTGTTTATTTATTATGGTGCCAGTTTGACCCAAGACCTCATCCATAGTAAGCAAGTTTTCTATTATTAAGCTATATTCACAGCCCTTAAACATCTCTTGAATACTTATGATACCAGGTACAAATAATAGAGCATACCATTTAGGGAATAATGACATGAAAAAAAAAGTTTGTAAATGTCCAGTAGAGATGTTTTTTCTTCATGTAAAATTACTATACAAGATCTGTATTGGTAAAAAGGGGGGGAAGGAGGGAGAGAGAGAGCAAAGGAGTGAAAGGAAGAAGAAGAGAAAACTGAAGGCCTCGCTCCCCTACTCCCATAAAAATAAGATGCAGAAAAACCAACTTTGTTTTCCTGATATAACTCATCATATTCTTACTGTTCCTCCATGTCTCCCAGGTACTCGCATGAGCACTTTCCTACCACTGTCCACGTACTGCTGCTTCAAGGATTCTAAGCTTAAGAACTTCCACAGTCGTTTTTGCAAAATTCTGGCATTCATTTTTCCCTCTTTCTAGAAAAAATTATGGGGAAAAATCTGCACCTTTCTCTGAAATGAGCACTGAGGGTTTGGCCAATCAGAACTTCTTGTTTGATTCTTTCCCCTGGATTACAGTGGATGTGGTACAGGGATGTGCCGTGGACAAAGGTCACTGGGGATCCTTTCCATGATTCTATTAGCAAAGAGGCATGCTCCTCCTACTGGAGCTGTGAGCGCCTTCTTGCCATCATAAGGGAAGCTCTTGTCCAGGAACAAAGCACAAGAAGACATGCTTTGAAGACGTATGACATGACATTTCTGAACTGATTCTGTAGAAAATAAATTCACTTTATAGCTTAAGCCAAAATTTTTCTATGACTCAGAAAACTCTTAAGTGCCTATCATGAATAGCCACAGGAGTCCTAGTGGGTGGATTAGGGAGCCACGCTTATTTTGCTTTGTTGTTGTTTTGAGACAAGATCTTCCTATGTTGTCCAGGATGGCCTTGAATTCGAGGGCCTCCTGCCTCACCTCCCAAGAGCTGAGATTACAGGTGTGCACTACCATGTGCAAGAAAGCTCCTGGTGGACTCTTTCCTTAAGATCAATAACATTCCTCTTCGCTACTCACCCAACTTCAAACAGCATTAGTCACGTGTCATTATCAGACAGTACAGTACTGATCAGTTTAAAGAGCCATTAACAGACCAACAACATGACTTAGCAGGTAAAGTGCTTGCCACACAAGTCTGGCTACCTGAGTTCAATACCTAGAACCTACTTAAGGTGGAAGGAGAAAACAGGCTTCATAAAGAAGGCCTCTGACTCCCCCACATATGCACCAGGACTCATGTGCTTTCTCACACACATCACATACACACACACACACACA